TACGAAGTATGATTTTTTGCCAAGTAAGATTCCAAAGCACCAGAACCAACCACGTAGGCTCAGCGCATTCGGGAATTATATATAGGGAGGATAATAATAATAATAATAATAATAATAATAATAATAATAATAATAATAATAATCTATAATTCTGTTAATAATAATCTATAATTCTGCTATATGATTTTGTTATGGAGCCATCAAATAATATGGTAATTTATAATTAGTAATAAACGATGTATACAATTGTTGTCTTAAAATAAAGATCCGATCGACGATCAAGAGATGTCGTTGGATTTATTGTGAAAAGAGCTTTCTACACATATATTTCCAGTAGTATTATCGTGTGACCTTGCACACCTAGTTAGGTGTGCCAGGACAGTTTTGCACGCGCCTCCCCCACCCCAAAAACAAGAAAATTTGGAGAGTGTTGTACACATTCCTATTTTTTCTTTTTTTAATTGAAAAATGAGACATATTACATAAATTAAAATATTATTAATTATTTATATTAAAAAATAAAATAAAATAAAAATACCAAATTTCATAATTTTTCATTATTTATAAATAGAGACCACATTTGATAGGTTTTTGAGCACAACTAATTTTTCTTTTTTTTGTAATTATTTTATTATACTGACATATAATGAACATGTTACATAATAAAATGAATATGTTTTCAAATATGATGAACATGTTACAGATTGCAGATTGAAATAATACATATTCATCTTATTTTACAACATGTTCACCTTATTGTGTATGTAACATGTTCATCTTATTCTATAACATGTTCATTTTATTATGTAACATGTTCATCTTATTTTATAACATGTTCATTTATTACGTAAAATGTTCACCTTAACATGTTCATCTTATTCTATAACATGTTCATTTTATTGTGTAACATGTTCATCTTATTCTATAACATGTTCATTTTATTATGTAACATGTTCATTTTATTATGTAACATGTTCACCTTATTGTGTATGTAACATGTTCATCTTATTCTATAACATGTTCATTTTGTTATGTAACATGTTCATCTTATTCTATAACATGTTCATTTTATTATGTAACACGTTCATCTTATTTTAGAACATGTTCATCTAAATTTCATCTGTGAAAATGTAACATTTTCATCTTATTCTATGACATGTTCATCTTACTCTATAACATGTCCATCTTACTATGTAACATATTCATCTAATGATAGATTTATGTCATAATCTTTCAATAAGATAAATTAATTGTAAAAAATGATAAATTAATTGTGTTCCAAAAAATATCAAATGTGGTCTCTATTTGTATAGAATGAAAAATTATGAATTTTGGTATTTTTATTTTTATTTTTTGATACAAAATATTAATGATAATTTAATTTATATAATATGATATATGGATTTCATTACCCAATAGAAATGAGAAACATGTCCTATTTTAAAAAAAAAAAATTGTTTTACCTCCTTACCTCACGCGCTTTTAAGATGGGTGTATTTCACAAAAGAATCTGGCATACCTAGCAAAGTGTGCCAAGGCACACCTAAGTATTTGCGATATATTTCGCTTTAGCGACATCTCAATCTTCAGTGATCTTCTAGCATATAAATTTGACATCTCAATCTTCAGTGACATTCTGAAATATTGCGCAAATCTTTTTTCTTTTTCAAAAATTTTAAAATAGTTTAACAAAGTTCAAAATATCACATGATGAAATTAAACATGTCATTCGAAAGATTGAGTCAAAGAGCTTCAAATGATATATGATTTTTTTTTTTAAAAAAAATCCACCGTTGGTAGGCGGACGATGAGAATTGGCTGTGGTGATGACCGACAATGGCGAGATAAACGATTCTTCAAATTCGGTGTGCTTTTAACTTAACTAGTATTCGATCCTGTGCACATGCACAAATGCAAATATAGGTTTATATATTATATGTATGTGTATGTAATATTTAAAATCAAAAGTTAGATAATAGCATATCACATTTTATAAATTTTATCATACGTAAAAATGAACGATAAACTATTAACTTACATATTAGTTTTTATATCGATTGCAATTATATAATTTTTGCAATACTTTTTTAGTATGAACAATTGTTTAGATAAAATAATATTGAAATAATTATTCTTATAGTATCGAAATTTTGAAAATTTTAGGTTATATCATAAAAATTAAATAACTAATGTTGATAAAAACACTTGCTTAATGAGTTAAAACCAAAAAAAAAAAAAAAANNNAAAAAAAAAAAAAATCAAATAAATAGTTTGAAAAAAAAAATTAACTTATTTCATTTAATGTGGGTTTATGATTTGTTAGGAGTAATTGCTATATAATAAAATAAATAAGTACTTAATTAATGCAAAGTAACCTTTTTTGGAGGGAAAAAATTTTGAAGTTTTATTAAATGCACATGAGCTAGTAATTATATATATATATAGATAACACATTTTTTCTAATTGTTTTTATTTTTATATTTGTGATCTTGAAATTAAAATAAATTATAATTTAAATTACTGTAGGTGTTTGACATGAACATGTATAAGACAACAGTCTTTTTCCGTTAAATGTAAGATTGAAATTGATGTTTTGGTCAATCTAAAATTAAGATGAAAGAATGCCATTAGAATTAGCGTGTATGTGAGAGCATCTGCAATGGTTGAAGTGGATCATTGTCTATATGACAATTGAATAGACGGTCTTTTGTCCACGTCGATTGAATAAAATGACATGTTGATAAGTAACGTTCCAATGGTAGATGTCTATACACTGTAAATATTTATATACGTGTTTTTTTTTTTTGTCGTTCTAAAAAAGCATTGTAGAGAAAATGTCGAACAAACTTTGAACCAGATATCACAATATTTTTATACACGTAAATTGTTTTTTACTTGGTGTTCTAACAAAACTAGTACAGAGTCTGTGCGATGCACGGGGTGTACAATTTTAAGGTCATTTATCCATCATTATAATTATATAAATGAATAAAAAAATGTACGTGATATATATAGTACGTAACCTGTGCAAGGCACGAGATATATTTATTTGGGGATTATTATACTATAAGATGCAATATTCAATAAAAGTTTTACAATACACGAAAAAAAATATAAATAATGTGAATATCTAAATACATAAACGATATGTATAATAAATAAGCCAAATTGCAAATCTGAAATTATAATTAAAAAAAAATAAAAAATATATTTCACTAAACATGTACAAAAATATCTAAATACATACACGAAAATAAAAAAAATAAAATATTCGTTTCAAATTTCGAAATTAAAACAAAAATTTAAATAATTTGGCTTACAGTTTTATCATGCAGAACCAACTCGAGATATGATTTGTATGTGTTGCCCCAGTCTTGGAAAAACATTTCCACAATTCAAACTTTGAGCATAGGTCTATTAGACCTATTGACTTGTTTGATTAACCTAAAATCCTTGATTCATTGTTTTGAATTAAAAAACTGGTTGGGGATTTTTTTTTTCGCAGGAGGTTGACAGTAAGGAAGATGATGACTCGATATTTTGAGATTTGTAATTTATAATGAGTAGAGTAGATATATATTGCTGTTAATATTTTTATTATATGAATATGAATACACAAAATTCGGTTTGAACAAAATCTAAAAAGATTTCCATACAATTAGATAATAAATAAAGTCTTTAACAGCAAATTGATACATTGTGAAACTCTACTAGAAATTCTCTCGTTGAGAGTAAAATTCTCTCGTTGAGAGTAAAATTATCTTGTTGAGATCCTGAATTCTTCTGCTGGGAGTTCTTCATTTCATTGTTTGATTTGGGAGTTGTGAGGTGTTCGGGCTTGTGATATCGGGTCATCTTTCTAGGTTTTTTTTTTTTTTT